TGTGCAGGACCCGGCAGGCCCGGGCGGGAGGGAGGAGCAGGAGGACGCGGCGGAGACCAGCCTCGGAAGCCCGCGGGCCTCCCGGAGGGGCCGTGAAGGCCGCCCTGGCCTGCGCGGCGACACGTCTGGAAGCGGCTGATGGGCTCGTGGAGGCACCTAGCACGGGATGGTGTCCCAGGCAGGCCTCCCGCGCGAGCACGCCGCGCTCTTCCCGCGCCGAAGCATCCAGAGGCTACAAACACCGTCCTGACAATGGGCCGTGAGGCTAAGCCTTCCTGGGGCCGGCATTTCCGACCCACTTGGGGCACTTCCCGGGGCCCGCCAGCTCCCGCGTGGACGAGGACGCTCAGCCCACGCCGGGACCCGGGTCTCCCTCTCTGAGTCCGAGGAGTGGGCTGGCAAACCCTCACCCCTGGGTCCGCATGACTCTGCCCGCCAGCCCACGGGGCTCCAGCACTGCAGCTTTCCCCTCCGGGCATGCACTGGGCCAGCTCTGGTTTAATCGACCCTCCACCCCCGGCCGTCCCTGCCCCGAGATGCAGGCGGCTGGCGGCTGGGGCGCTGCTTGGGGTAGGCGTGGGACAGGCCCCGGGGCTGGGGCTCCAGCTGGCTCAGGGTTCCGAGGGTCCTGACCACACACCCATCATCCGAGCCCTTGCCCGGGGCGCTCCCCAGCTCATCCTGCTAGAAGCACAGCAGCCAAGGGCCCAGGGCGCACACTGGGGGGCGGGTGAGACCCTGTGTGCTGTCTTTTGGGGACACTCAAAACTCAAAAACAGAGCTGCTCGATCCAGCTCAGAACACTAGGCGTGGCTCCCAAACACACTAGCTAGAGCGCATCTTGGTTTTATTCAATAAACTTAATGTTTTACACTAAGCAGCACTTAGTTTGTATATTTGACATCTAGGAAGTAAGAAAACGGACTTTCTCTTTAAACATTAGACTTTGAAATTCTCACTAATTCAAGTGTGTTGCAGAGCCACCCGCAGAGCACACGTTTCATGAATCAACTACCGCTGTTCCTACTCATTGTCACAGCATTATTATTAATGAATGAAGTATTAATAATTCATTATTATTTGTTCAAATGAGTGTCAAAGGGGCTACAGAAGAGTGTCATCTGCTTGAAAAACACGACACCTTTAACATTGAAGACGACGGCTCGTGTAACTTAATTTGTGGGACAGAAAGTTCCAACAGTCTGATAAAAAGAGAAATGTTTTTTAATCATGCCTTAGGGTCCAAATCGATCCTACACAGATCCTAGGAATGACAAGGGGTGGAGAGAGAAGAGCTGCCTGGTGTGGAAAGCGTCCCGTCCGGAACGTTCTCCTGCGTTGCGTAGTGAAGCCACACGGAAGATGTTTCCATTCTTGGGCATGTGTAAATTTTAAAAAGGTCAAATATATTAATTAATGGAAGACACGGTATTCTCAAAAATTACCAATAAAACAGTCCTGGACTCAGGAGGGAATTTCCTCAGTTTCCAGGACACAGGAGGGTCTCGGCACTGACCGTGGGGAGGGGCGCCTCGGGCGGAGGCAGCGCCCGCCTGGGGTTTGGGCCCAAGTGGCACAACACGGCCGGACACTGAGCTGCGCAAGCTAAGCCCTGGCCCATCCAGCGGCCGCGGCCACACCCCGACAGAGGGTTCCGGACGAGAAGGGTCTTGTAAAGGCAGAAATCCCCCCATCTCGCACTCACAGAGGGCCATGGGGCAGCTCCCCGCTTATTCGGGGCTCCCTGGCAGAAAGACACTAGAAACACTCACCTCGTGTCCCTGAGTGGCCAGCAGGGAGGCCTGAGGCCTGGGTGGCCCATGGCCTCTCTGCCGGGGACAGGAAACCCTGCAGGGGCTGGGGCCCGAGGGGGAGGGCAGCTGCCTGGGGGGCAGGTCAGCAGCCTGTGACCCCAGCGTCCTGCAGCCCCACAAAGACCCCCCCCAACCTGGTGCGTTTCCTGCGGACAGAGAATGCCCGGATTTCCTGGAGGAAGGGCCAGGAGCCCCTCGCTAGGTGGGTGCTACACGAGTGGACTCAGGCCTGGACACCCTCGCCCGGCGCCTCCCTTGGGCTGCACCCCAAGTGCAGCATAGGACGAGGGTTGCTCACTCCGCTGGGCTCCCCCAGGGGTGCGGCCAGACCTGCCCCCATCACAGACGGGGGCTCCGGGGTGGTGGGGTCAGCCGGGCGGGGCCCAAGGGGACGCTCCTCTGGAACAGGAACGGGGTGTGCCCGCAGCCTCCCAGGAGCGGGCTCCCAGGCCCCCACCCTGCCCCTCGCTGCCCCGGGGACACCTGGATGCCCCTTCCCCAGCAAGTGGCCGGGAAGCTGGTGGAGCCAGGGCTTTGTCCGCGCCCCGGGTGGCTGGGGCCTGGACTGCGGAGCCCACGCATCTTCTCAGGCCTCCCCTGGTCGGCACCGGAATCCGCAACCTCCCTCTGACTCCCGCGAGAGACGGGGCTGCTGCCGAGGCTCTCCCTGACCCAGGGGGCCGGGGCCCGCGGGTGTCAAGACCTGGGGCAGGTGGGAGGCAGCAGGCCGTCTGCAGGGAACGGGCAGCGTTTCCTCTAGCCCAAAGCGGCGAGAAAATCAGGTGAAAAGCGAAAGAAGCGCTTCCCGCTACGCCGGCTCCCGAGGAGGGAGGCGTCCAGGCCCCGCGCCTGCAGGCAGATCCGCCCCACCACGGAGTCACCAGGACAAACCCAGAATAACCACCGAAGAGGAAACATCTGAGGCCGGGAGGGGCCAGCCGGAAGCGGGAAGTAAACAGCTCAGCTTGGACTGAAGCCCCTGAGACCCCCACGGAGGCAGCGTCCAGCCCGGAAGGTGCTGGCAAGACGGTGACGCCGGCATCTGCGCCGCGCAGGGCCCTGCGGGTAACCACAGCTCTGTGGAGACAGGACTCAGCCAAGAGATCTGGCAGCTCACGCTGGAGATGCTCCAGCTTCCCGCAGTGGCTCCCACACGGCCCATGTGTCCGTTTCTCAAGGGCGTGTGGGAAAGACTTCCAGGCCGAGCATCTCCGGAGGCTCGGCAGCCCCCTCTGTCCCAGTTAAGTCATGCGGACTCGCGCTGAATACGTGGCTCCCACTATCCCGTTTGTAAAAACCAGCCCGAATTGACCGAGTCTGTAGCCAGTTGCGAGCAGGGAGACAACCCCGGCGAGAACCATACTCAGGGGAGTCCTGGCATCTGAACCCTCAGGGTTAGATTCTGTGATTCTCAAGCCTTTATTCGCTCTGCATTGACACCCAGTCAGCAGGTCTGAGATGGGGGCTCTGGAGGGACAGAATCTTCCCGAAACGTCTTTACCTGACCTTGGGGTGCAAGAAATGGAAGCAGATCTTGAAATCCCAGCTCGGTTAAGCTCTAGGCATTTGGCATCAGTAAGCCGGTTGTGTGAACACAACTTGGAAGAAAATGGTGGAAGTTAAGCCTTCCTCGTTGTGGGGACCGGGGGGGCTGCCCTTGCTCAAGCTGCGGGATCCTTTGGGCCTGAAATATTGATGCTCAGGAGGAGACAAGCCAGACCTGCAGCTCTTGTTGGGAGGATCTGATCATAAACCTTTGACTGCTCCTCTGGGTTCAGGCGGCCTTCCGAGTTCACGCAGTAATCACAGTCGTTGAGGAGACGACCCTTTAACTTGCCGGTGTTTTATTCTAAACAGGCCTTACTTAATATTTATAGAATGATCATTTGGGTTTAAAAACCCACTGTGGGGAGTGAGGGGGCTGTGCGCTGAGACGCCGGGGACTCACTGTGACGTCTCGGCGGACAGCGGGGGAGGACAGGGTCCTACAGCAGGGGCAGACCCGGTGGTTTCCATGTCCACGGCCTAGGCTGAGCCCTCAGCACAGGGAAGTAGCCGCACAGTGTGGGGTAAGTGGATTAATCGGGCTTTTGAACCCGCTGGCCTCTGTGGCCATCACCTGCAGCCTGGATGGTGCTGATGGAGAAGGCACTTGGGCGGGGGCGAGCGTGCCTGATGGTGGACACCTGCCGGCGGATACCTGGCGTGCGGGTGTGCGCATGCGTGAGTGGGTGCACCTGAGCCCGGAGGCGGGATAAAAGCCGCGAGAGGACGCGCGGCCTCCCTGCGGAAGCGGTGAGACCAGAGAGAGCCCAGGGAAGGCAGCAAGGTTTGTGGGATCTGGGACCCCGTGGCCTGTCCGCCCCCCACACGCCCCCGCCGCCTGTGTGCCTGGCACCGGGTCCCTGAAAGCATCAAAGCTGGAAAACACACCGAGGGCTCCGGGAACTGGGGTCAGGGAATTCACACCCACCGGCCCCTGCAGGCAGGCGGGGCCCATGAGGACTCACTGCTCCCCACGGGGCGGGGGGCTCTGGGGTGCTGGGCCCAGCCCGCCCTGAGCCCCAGCACTGCAGGCTGAAGGCTGAGTGGCCACGTTTCTCCCTCCACCCAGCTTCGTGGCGACCCCCAGCCAGAGTCGGGTGCGGCCCTGCCCCGGGTCAAAGCAGACAGGCACCTGCCTCCCGGGACAAGCCGCAGACAGCCCCGCGGGCGGGGAGGGGTCGTCGCGCAGCCCCGGTTCTGCAGCAACAGGAGGAGAAGCACTTATCTGGGGAAAAGTTCTAAGTTGGGAAATAACAGACAGTGACTGTCTTTGTCAGTAAATCAGGACAGGCCCGTCAAGAGCCATAAAGTGTTTGCAGATGCTAATTTGGACAGAAGGCTCTCAGTGGGGAGAAAGGCTTGCTCCGTCCAGAAAAACGCTGAGTTCTTATACATCGATTCCAAAGATTTTCTGCCAATACACTTGTTCTTTCTAGCGTCAAGAAAGGAAAGTCAACCAAACCCCTTTTGCGTTACTGCCGCTGGTCACTGCACCCTGGGGTGTTGCCGTAGGACCCCTCACTTGTTACCCCCGGGTTTGCTTCCTCGTGCCGCTCTGGAGCCATGGCGGCCTGAGAGGCTCCACGCAGAGGGCTGCCGGCCCACGCAAGGCCCTCGTGGCTGAGCGTCATCAGCACTCACCTTCTGTCCCTTCACTCCGTGGCAGTCACATTTCCCACATCCAGAGCCAGCACAGCCGCCCTGCAAGGAAAAGGAACAGATTAGAAGAACTCGCCACACCCAGGCCGTGGTTCTGTCTGCAGGCAAGGCCTGCTGTCCCGGCCCGTCTGCCCACCCCCCAGGACCTGGTCCGGCCGCCCCTCCTGCCCCAGCAGCGTTGCCCACTGACAGGGACAGCGTCGCCTGCGCTTCCCAAAACCGGCTCCCAAGCCACAGGTAAGGGGACACAGCCAGGTGTGCCCCCGGGAGACCTGAGGCCCCAGGACACCAGGTCAGGCGGCAGAGCCCCCAGGGACAGGCAGGTCATTTGTGCAACAGGAAACAAAGAGCTGGTGTTTAAGCCCGAATCTCAAAGGACTGATTTTCTGATTCAAGGAAAGCTTGAATGTTCAACTTCATTCAATAGCAAAATGCCCCTCAGGGCTCATGTGGGGGGGGTACAGGAGAGCTGGGCCTGCAGGGGTGGAGGCCAGTAAGGAGCAGTGTGGAGGAGAAGGCGACATGGGGGGGCGGCCAAGTGGGGGGTGGCCTGGGGAAGGGAGACGGCACACAGGCCCGCTGGCCGTGGTGCCACAGGCAGCAAGTCCCATCTTCTGTCCGACCCTTCCTTTTTTTAAAAAAGATTTATTTATGCATAGAAGAGCTGGGGTGCAGGCCAGAGGTGCAGGGGGTGAGAGGATTCACCACAGACAAAGTGCGGAGCAGAACAGGCGGATCCACTGAGATCCACTGCTGAGGGGAGCAGCGGGAGACAGGAGAGGTCTGCTGTGCCATGTGGGTAGCTCCCTGGCCTGGGATGGAACTCGTGCTGCAGTGGCTGCCAATAACTTCATAGTGCTGCGTCTTAACCCCTGCACCACCAAGGAGGCCCCGTCCAACCCTTACAATAGCTTCGGGAAGAGCGGCCGCCCCACTTGACAGACGTGAACGCTGCCTTATGGCGTTTAATGTCTCCTGCCAGGACGAGGCTGAAATTGGAACCCAAGTGCCAGCACAACCAGAGACTGGGTCCTTACCCCTCCCTCTGCCTCTGCCCCTGCGGGGGAGCACACGCCCGCGTGGGGCAGATGAGGGCGGGCTGTGCCTGCTCCGCCACTCCTGTGGGTGTCGTGTTCCGTCCGCGGGAGAAGGCAGAACGGCCTCTGCCCGGGGCCGCGGGTTGGTGGAGACAGGCCGGGACCCGGCGCTCCGCGCGGGGGGCCTCTCAGCACAGCCGGGGCCGCCCCGCACCACGGCGCATCTGGAGCTATTTACTGCGAGATTAAAGCGTGACCCAGCAGTGCCTCCGAGACAGTGAGCTCTTGTTCATTTTGTACTTTGGGAGCGGGACAGCTGACGGGAGGCGCGGGCTGCGGAGCGGGTCCCTCCATCGCATTCGAGGCCACTTCCTGCGCGAGCCCCGCCCCCACCCCGCGGCCATCCAAGTGTGGGGGCGGCTCCACAGTCAGCTGCCCCAGAAGGGAGGCCAAACACCCAAACTGTGTTCCAGAAGGTTCGTCCAAAATGCACAAATGGTACAAGTACAGCGAGTCACTGGCCCGGTGAGAGGCCCCCAAGGCTGCGACGTGAGCCGCTGGCCCCTGGCCCCCTGCGGCTGGGCACTCTCCCTGAAGGTTGGGGGGCCCCACTGTGAGGCCAGGAGGAGCACAGGCTTGCAGCCACACAGACCAACCACCAGAGTGGCCGAAACCCCCAGAAACAGGCATCCTGGAAGGAAACCAAGTCACAGCAGCTGACCACTGTTCCTCGCATCTGCCCTAACAGCCCCATCACAGCCCGAACCCGGGGAGCCCCAGCTCACAACACAGCAGCAGGTGGGAAAATGCTCCCTAGAGGTCGCCAGCAGTGACCCAGGGAGCCGCCAGCCAGCAGACCAGCCAGGGTAGGGGGGTGTCTGGGGCAATATGGGGCGGCAAGTCCATGGCCAGGGGCCTCCGCAGACCCACAGGCCAGAGCTGTGTGGCCTTCCGGGGCTCCAGGTTCAGCCCCCACTGGTCGCGCCAGCCCTGGCCACCCGCAGGAGCCTCTCTGCCCCTGGACTCTGCTCATCCACCCAGCTGGGAAGGCCACCCCCCAGGAAGATCCCTCCAGGCCGGGCTGCAGAGGCCACGCCTGAGGAGTGCCCCTGTGCCGGGGCCAGCAAACTGCTTTCTGGACTGTCCCTTATGCCATCGGCGCAGGCAGGACCCAGAGCAGAGTCTGGCCCATGGGCGTCGCAGTCGGCTGCTCGTGAGCCCTGGGCCACGGGGGAGAAACTGCCAACTTCTCTCTGGTTCCTGCTCCCCCGGGACACCCCAGCCCATCAGCTTAAGCGAGACACCAACAGCAACTGAAGCCCCAGCCCCAGGCAGCCGGGTCCTCCTGTGCCCCCCGGAGGCGGTGCTGCCCCCTCTGGCCTGGAGGATGCTTCCAAGGACTGATAATTCCAAGATTATCTAAACTACGGTCAACTTTCCAGAACAAAAGGCATTTTTCAGCATGCTTTGCGTGCCACATCCTGGGTGGTCTAGCAGTTTATGGAAAAGACTCTGAGAAAAATTCATTTTAGGATAAAAAGACAGAAGACCTGAGGGGCATGTTGGCTGCAGCCACTCCCGCCGCCTCACCTGGCAGGGCAGCCCTGAGGGCCTGCTTCAGCCAGCGCCGAGGGCCCGGCTCCGCCACCGGGCAGCCAGAGGCCAGGCCACCAGCCTCACAACGTCCTGCGGGGTGACGTGCTGCCTGTGGGCCACTCAGCAAAGTCAAAAGCCCCACCCCACCCCCGGCCTCCCAGCCCAAAGCCCCCACTGGCCCACATCTGAGGGAGCTGGGAGGCCAGCTTTCCTGGCGTCTGGGGCGTGTGGCCCCGCGGCCGCCTGCCGGCACATCTGTTTCAGATTCTGGAGGGGCAGAGGCGCAGGCTGGGGGGCCTCACGCTCTCCCCTGCCTCCGGCCAGTCCATGTCCAAGCAGGCCTCCGCGTTCTCCCCACGAGGGGAGGCAAAGCCCAGCGGCCGGAGCTCGGCCACAAAGCCGCCTCCACCTGACGGAGGCCACCGTGGGCAGGAGGCCACCCACAGCCACAGGAGCCCGGGCCAGAGGCCCCGGAGGACCCTTGGGGGACACTTCTCATTTATACCCCAAACTGGGAAAACCGAGAGGCCTCTGAGCCTCTTCTTGAACTTCAGCAGTCACCTCCATGCAGAACAGAACTGGACTGTGAGACAGAAGATACATACGTGTGCACACGCATACACGCACATGCACAGGTGTGGGTACATCCGTCCCCCTGAAGTCACACACCCCTTGCCAGCTGGGACCACTGGGCACACAGACAACACTGCTCTGGCACTCTGTCCGGGCCGTGAGCGCGCCTCCCTCTGCCGGCTCCAGCACAAGTGCCCCGAGGCGTCGGAGACAAGGATCCAGGACAATTCAGTGCCCAGGAGGAAGGCAAAGGAGGGTGCATGGATCCCACTGGACCCCCACCTGAAGTGAAGCATTTCTCATCTCTCCCGGGTCTACAGACCCAGGGGGCCCCTCGGGGGGGCCGGTGGGATACAGGAAGGGGAGGGCTCTGGGCTGCTGCTACCAACCAAAGAACAGCTGCTGCGCTGCTCCCGCAGTGCACGTGTGTGCCTGTGTGTGTGCATCTGTGTGCCTGTCTGTATGCCTGTATGCCTCTGTGTGCACCTGCACACATGCGTGTGGACTTGCTTGCATGTGCATGTGTACATTTGCATGCATTGTGTGAGAGTTGTGTGTGCATGTGTGTGCCTGCGCATGTGCGTGTGCGAGGGGGCAGCATGCCCATGAGCACGCCTGGGGTGAGAACATGCGGGTGCACACCTGCCCGCGGGCTCGCCGAGCCAGGCCTGCAGAGAGGACCCTCCGCCCCCGGACGCCCCGGCTCTGATGGGCGACAGCCACCCACCATCACCCTCGACTGTCTGTGCGTCTCACACCCCACCAAATAGGGGCACGTGGCACCCCGCCAGTCTCCGCTGCTTATCCTCCAGATTCCTTTCCACATTCCGGGGCGGTGCAAAATGTCAGCATAGTTTTCTGGTGATACTACGGCCCCGCGCTCTTCCTGCAGTAACTCTTCTCCAGGGAGTCTTGGATAATTATCTACCCGACGAAAGAGACCGTCCCGAGGGCTCCGGGGGCAGAAGCCCACAGAGGCGCAGGCGGCCTGGGGAGCATCGTCGGGGAGCACCACAGCAGAGTCCCCGGCAGCATCTGACTCGGAGGGGGAGCGATGCCACACCCACGCCAGCGCGTCGTGGCCAGCCAGGGCGGCTCCGGCCACTCGGCACCACTTTCCCCTCTACTTGGTCACCAAGACTTGTTGGTGTGGTAAACAGAAGCTCCCCACAGAGGCCTCTGTTTGAATATAAAAACACTGCAAAGAAGGAGCGCGTATACAGAGCGTCTGCATGTTTATTTCCTAATCCCACCCTCTTCGCGTCCTAACTGCGCGTGCCGCGTGGGGTACTTCTGTTCTGCCACGGGGCTTGCCCCGAAAGAGAATATCTACTGCAACACAGGAGCGCGTGCCATGGGGTCCCATGTGTTAAGAACAGGAGAAACTTCTGAAGAGCACCGGAGGGGCTGCCTGAAGGGTCACGGTGGATTGTGGGGTGATGAGAGGCTCTCCCTGCCGTCTGTGGCCTTCCGTGAGCCTTTTGCACCTTGGTGCGTGTCTTTTTTCTACAGCAGCCAGCAGCCAAACCAGTCGGGGTGGAGTGTGAGTGGTCTCTGCCCACAGGTGCACCTGCCGCCCCAGGGCGGGCCTGACAGGCAAGGCTGAGCAAGCGGAAGCTGGGCACCCAAGAGCCAGCCAGGGATCCCCCATCGAGAGTTCAAATCCGCGCAAACCAAGCTGGCAGCGGAGGCCGTGGGGGCTGCCAGAGCCGGCGAGACTTTGCTGCTCTGTCTCAGGCGTGGCCTTGTGCCAGCAGCCCCGGCTCTGTCCTGGGGTGTCACGTGCTCCCCCAACGCTGCCCCCCAGAAGCGCGCCCGGAACTGTGCGATCGACAG